GCAATGCGCCCAGACATGTGACAGAGCACAATGCTTTGGGGGGGGGGCGGGTGCCCCCACTGATCTGCTCACCTGTCTCTGTCATCACCACGAGCACCAAACACAGGTGGGTCTCGTGGAGGCAGGCACCCAGAGCACTAGGCATAGAAGCACCACCACTAGAGGAGTACTAAGTTAGGAAACTGAACACATTTCACCTCCAGTCGGAATGCCTAAAATACCAGTGCTGTGGCTGTGTAAGGAAAGTGGCCACACTGGGTGGCGGAAAGGGACTAGCTGCAGATGCAAAGGTGAAACCCATGTTGAGAATAGAGCCAAGCTCCTCACTGTCCTGGAAGGAGTTAGCAATATGAAAAGGGAAAAGAACGAGCCATTCTGGCATGGGATCAGAATGAATGGTACCAGAGTGAATACAGTTTTCAAAATCTATGCATATGTATAAAAATATAGATGTTTTTGTGTGTCCATGGAGACAGCTTTGGAGCAGTGAGACTCCAGTAGCAGTGAGCACATGTAGAACAAGGCGCTGGTTTCTAAATTCAATCTCTATTAAAGAGAACTACAACTCCTCCGTGCATAGCTGATTCCAGAACCAGGGGACCGAAGTATAAGAGCCTGTAATAAGTTACTGTACCAGAAAGCAGGGAAGAACTCAGAGAAGGAAGGATAGGACAAAACACAGAAGCCAGCTTACAAAGGCTTCTGATGGTGCCTTGGGATGGTGAAACCTGGGATGATAAATAATAACAGTCACAGTGGCAAAGTCTGAGCTTCAAAAAAAGGTGATAGTAATGAGTCACACATTATTAAATAAAACAGGAATCCAAGTCCACATAGATACAAATAAACAGGGGAAAACGACTGCCAGAACACAGGAAAATGCAAACTAACAAGTGTGGAAAGAATCAGGGAATTTGAAAAAACATACTTGAAAATAATAGGAATAATTCAGGCAAGAAATGTCAATAAATTCTAAAAACAGTGGACAAAATCTTGATGAAAAATAGGGTATTTACAAAGGCTTAAAATATCTCCCCATAGAATACAAAGGGACACAGAGCAACCTTCCCGTGGAGAAGCTGAGGAGACACCACCTTCTTTGGGTGGTCAAAGTGGATACGAGCAGTAACAGCACAAACGGATGCCCCGCGCCACCACATGGGACGCAGCTAGAGCACAGCAGCACTTCCTTGTTTCCTTTGAAAATGAACACCCTGAGCTGGGGACATCCTGTAAGACAACGGTTGCGTAGTCTCAAAAAAAAAAAAAGAAAAGAAGAGGTCGTAAAGATGGAGGAAGGGTGGAGAAAGTGAACTGAAGGAGATGAAATGCATCAAAATGAAGCATGTTGTCCTGGATCGGACCCTGTTGCCATGGAAGACACAGAGGACAAGGATAAAATTTAAGAGTTCCCTAAGGTGGTGGTGGTGGGTTGTATGGGAGCTCTTGGGCTGTTCCTGTAACTTATCTCCAAGCTTGACATGGCGTAAGGACGAAAAACTGCTAATGCTTTCTGCAAAAATGATATAAAAATTATACAACCATCTTGAGTTACAACACTTAAAGACATGAGTAAAATTAACTTTGCTTTTGGATAATTTCCTATGAACAAGGGACAATATAAAAAAATTCGTCAAAATGGTGTCAAGTAAGCCAAAGCAGCTCTAAGTGACTAAAAGAAAAAACTAGGAGGAAAACTCTAAAAATACACTAAAATGCTAAACGTTGCCAAAAATCACTTTCAGTGTTTATTAAGTCACTCAAGGAAGAATCCCAACCCCATGTTTTTTAAGACATAGTCCCACCACCAAATATTTATTCTCAACAAATCTTCAACCAATTTTGAAATAATATATCTAACAAAACACTCATGGCTTATATTGTACAGCCAGATACAAACTGTGCAGTTCCAAGACAACTTAGGACTTTGTCAATAGAGACAGAAGCTATCAGTAACTGAGTGACACATTTTAAGTGCGGGGGGCCATTTACAGGTAACAAGCCTGTGATGGTTAATTTTTGTCTACTGGACTGGATAAAGGAATGCCTAGATACAAATGGTAAAGTATTATTTCTGGGTGTTTCTTTTTTTTTTTTGAAACGGAGCCTCAAGCTATCCCCCTGGGTAGAGTGCCATGGCATCACGCTCATAGCAACCTCCAACTCCTGGGCTCAAGCGCGTCTCCTGCCTCAGCCTCCCAAGTAGCTGGGACTACAGGTGCCCGCCACAACACCTGGCCATTTTTTGGTTGCAGCCATCATTGTTGCTTGGCGGGCCCGGGCTGGGGATTCGAACCCGCCGCCTTAGGTGTACGTGGCTGGCGCCTTAGCCGCTTGAGCCACAGGCGCCGAGCCATTTCTGGGTGTTTCTGGAAGAGATCAACATTTGAACCAGTAGATTAAGAAATGTCCTCACCAACGTGAGGAGGCATTATTCCCACTGTTAAGAGCCCAAATAGAACACCGAGACAGAAGTGATTCACTCTTTTCTTGAGCTGAAAGCCATCTTTTTTTGACCTTGGACATCTTAGGCCTTTAACAGTGCAACCTCCCTCCACGTTCTGAACTTTCTCAGGTCTTTTGCTTTGGACTTAATTACACAATTGGCCTTTCTAGTTCTCTAGCTCCAGACAGTATATTGGGGGACTTCTAGGCCCCTATTATCACATGAAGTCAATCCCCATAACAAATTTCTTCTGTTTTTCTGGAGAACACTGACTTATACAAAGCCCATCTAAAGAGCTAACTGAAGTGGAAGCTATAGCTTTCTAATCTTTCTATCACGGCACACATGATACTATCACACACATTGCGGAAACAGAAGAATCTGCTTGGGCTTGGGGATGAGGTGGTCAGGTTTCCCAGCTGCCTGGAAACCACCCTATGGGCTGGAGACCATCACTATCTGAACAGCGACACCTCTTGAAAGCTGAGTTGGGAAGCTCTGGAATAGGAAGGTAAGGCGGCCTTAAACCAAAGGCAATGATAACGAAGAACTAAGTTTGACTGAGACAGGAGGCAGAAGGCTAGAATAACTATTTTCCAATTTGTGTTCCTAGAAGCCAAGCTGGGTCACACCTAAAAGACCCATTACCAGCAAGGTGTCACTGTCACAGTACTTCAAGCTCAATGGCAGAGACCAGTATGGTCCCCACAGGCACCACACATGAAGCAAACTTGTCATCACTGTTTCTTTGGTTCTCCCAGCCCCCTCTCCATGGTGAAAGTTCTACCTGAAGGACCTCTGCTTTCCAAACCTAACAACTTCACTGTAGTGAAGCCTTTGTAACCAACTTGTCATTCATCCCTGTCCTTGGAGTTCCCACGATTGACAGCGGTTTCCCAGCAAGTCCAAGCTTTTACTCTGTGCCTCATCACCACCCTCCCCATCCTCCCATCTCCAAACTAGTTTTGGAAGCTACCCTGCCACCTGAACAGCCCAACTGCCATACTCCTCCTTCCAGGGTTCTGCCTCTCATCCTCCAACTGCCCCAATGCTGCTCCCAGGGCCTAAGGATTCTCAGATATATTTATAACTTTTCTGGATTGGCTGATCTACCACTATGCCAAGTGCTCAGTGCTGAACTTCATTACCTTACTCTAAGAACAAGAAATAGCAACAGCAAAGATGAATTTTCAAAACAGTTGCTGAGATGCCACTGGGATAGCACATCAGACGCACAAAGCTCCTTTAAATACATAATGGGGGGTCATACCACTCTCCAGAAAGAGCCTGTAATGGTCACGTGGACACCAAACTGAAGCTAAGGCCTGAAGACAAGAGTCCAAGAATATCAGAAAAGGTATAAAAACCATCATATAGTTTAAGATATGATGGCCTAGTCAGTTTAGAACAGAGGTGGCAAACTGTCCTTCAAGGGACAGACAGCATTATTTTGGCTTTGCAGGCCATACAGTCTGGACAACTATTTAACAGCACATCTTTGTAGCACAAAAGTAATTATAAATACTACGTAAAGAAATGATCGTTGCTCTTTCTTTTTTTGAGACAGAGCCTCCAGCTGTCCCCCTGGGTAGAGTGCCGTGGCATTACAGCTCACAGCAACCTCCAACTCCTGGGCTCAAGCGAGTCTCCTGCCTCCGCCTCCCAAGTAGCTGGGACCACAGGCGCCCGCCACAAAGCCCAGCTATTTTTTGGTTGCAGCCGTCATTGTTGTTTGGTGGGTCCGGGCTGGGGATTTGAACCCACCACCTTAGGTGTACGTGGCTGGCGCCTTAGCCAGTCGTTGCTCTTTCAATAAAACAATAGAACCTCGATAGCTGACTACTTCCCCACACTGTAAGCTCCTTGGGCTTACTTTCAGAGTCTAGACACGAACCACGTGTGTGTATCAGTACAGTAGGCCTAGTTCCTTACACTGACCAGTGTGTTACTGAGTGTTTACTTGAGTGGTTTACTGTACTGTGGACACTGAAATGTAAACTATAACTTTCAGGTGATAAATTGTGTAAAACATAAAGACCATTCTGAGCACATGTACTAGATGGACATGGAAAGCCAGACTTGGCTCATACAGCTGTAGTCTGCCAACCCCTGGCTTAGAAGGACAAGGAGAAAATGGGTCAGGGAAGCCAACTGAAAGGACAGGTACTTGGACCTTATGGCTAGAAAACCCACCAAAACAGTCTTGGTTGTAAAATACTCATTCCCTGAAACTGCTTGCTTTTGGCAAAGTATTTTGTAGCAGCCATAGGCTGGCTTCTATAAGTATGGAAAAACCGGGAATCTACTGCACTCTCTTAAAGCCATCATGAACTTGACTTACATCCCATCAAATAGACTATCTCTGTATTGATGTGTTGGTTGAGAAAAAACCCAGGAGAGCCAATAAAACTGATCGGTGCTTGGGTCTCCTATATGCTACATTCACTAACTATGTAAGAAAACAGAAGTTACTGGTGATAGAGGTGTTGCTTACTTTCAATCTAAGAGTCTATGTGTTGGAATCATTTAAAAAAATGAGAAATGCAATGCTGGATGTATTGAAAATATTTTATAATCAATTCTCTAGAATCCTAAGCCAGCTGGTACAGGAAAAAAAATTATACTAGAACATTTCAGTTTTTTTTAAACAATGAAAAGAAATAGTTGACTAGAGGATGGCATAAGAATTTTACAAATACAAACGTAGGCTTCCTCACATTTCCCAGAGCAACTAAACAATAAAAATATTTCAAGAAAGAGTTGACAGTATACCTCAAATGCAAAATTCCAAAGTCAAACAGCCACTTACATTGAGAGATTTACCAAACTGTTTGTAAATTAAACAGTAACAGCAAAAGGCACAAAAAGCCTATTTCCTTTATGGTGTCTTGACTGATCCTTTAAGAAGCAGATAAACAAGTTATTATAAAGAACGGTCAAAACTTGGCCTGAGCTCTCTTCTGGTAATTATTAATCTTACTATCAGTAGATTGTTGTCCAAGGACAAAGGCTCCATGCCACCAACTTCTGCTTTCATTTTCCACAGAAAAGAAGAGGCTGCTCCTGGCTTTTTGTTTTCCTCTTTCCAGTTTTCACTATGCTCTGAGCAACAAGGTAGCCGATATAGTGTTGTAAAATAAATGAGAATTTTCCATTATTTGACCAGAAACACCACCCCTCTTCCCAACTCATTGCTCTGACTTGAAAGATAAACATATTTATGAGTCCTCATTTAATTCTCCTGAGACATTATGCACGATCCATTATAAAACATACAGTAATACAAAGTCCAAAAGCCTTTCAAATTTATGAAATAAACACATAAAAATTAAACATGATACACTGTGAGGGAAAATCATGATTTCATTTATTTTCATACGAGACAAGTTACGAGTGCATGATGTAAAAGCTTAAGTCACCACTGAACTGTGCTAAGGACACTGCAAGAGATTATGCAGGGAGAAATTTGTGCAAATTCATCTTCTTACTCAGTATCAGATGATTAAAAAAATTTCTTTAGATAGTCTTGTTTATATTCAGAAAAATAGATTTGAAAAACCGAACAACCAGAAATCTGCCCCCTCGTTATAACCAAATAACAATGCTTATGAAGGGTATTCTAAAGAAAAAATTGAGATGAAAAAATCCAAATAAAAGCCAACACTGCTGCTATTGAGATTTTTCTTTTAATATGCCATCAGATAACTTGATTGTATATTTTCCAAAGTACTTTTCCAGCCACATCACCCCACCCTTCCAAGAGATTTCATCAAGTTTTCCAATGTAGTAAAAGATGCTGGATTATAGTTCTGTCCACTTTCTCTTTTTGAAAACAATATAATTCTAATGACTTTAATGGTAATACACTCTATCTAATAAAGAAAAACATTTACAAATATCAGAAACCCAGTTTTGAAACATTTGCATTAATTCTGAACTGAATCAGCATTTTGTGTTTTTTAAAAAGGGGAGAGGTTGGCTCCCGACTTGCTGATAAACACACCCGTGCTGAAGGAAGGGGAGAGGAGAGAGAATGCTGCGTTTCTCCATTGGCCCCAAAGTGCTAGTTGTACAAAGGGACACATCGAAAGCAAACATGCAATGGTTAGTTTAAAACTTTTACTGCAATATAACAATGAAGTAAACAGTAATTAGACACACCTACCAATTTTGCCTCCCCCCCAAACAAAAAAATGTAAACAGGAAAATAGCTCTGCCTATTCTGGTATAGCTTTTCAAATCATGTTAGAAGGGTCATCCTCAGTGATCAAGAAATTTTAAAATAGCAGTAATTATTTTCATCTTAAGAAAAGGTTCCCTTTCTCCCCTCCCACCCCAAGTATTTAACATGAAAGAATGGGCTTTCTTAACATTAATTTTATAATTGGTGAAGCAGCAACAAGTAACCATCAATAATTTGGCATTTCTGTTTACAGATGCTATAAAATTTTTTAAAATTTCACAAAGCCATTATCCAGTGTTGCCATGAAACAGAGACTGCAAATTCTAGGTAGCAAAGATTCTTTCTGAAACCAATATTAAGTCAAAGAAATATAAAGCAGGGCATTACACTAAGTTTCTGGATCTAGTACACTAAAAAGAGTGAAACTTAGGAAAAGTTACCTACTGTTTTACAGAAGAAATAAAGACCTGCAAAAGCTGATTTTTGGTTGTATAGTATTTTACACACTGTGTGGAGTTGCGGCATCTGCTAATTGCAGCAGACATGCACTGTAGTTATCCCTGCCCTATATCCTAGATCCCTCCCTCCCCACCCCTGACATTCTACTACCTTATACCAAGTATTGTGGATATGAGCCCAAGTCATCCCAGACAATCCAGTGAACAAAGTTAGTGTAATGCACTGGTGTGATGTGTGAGATAGAAAAAAGTCCCTTTCAATCTTCATCAAAGTTCTGCTGTAGAAGAAAATTGGCAGCCAAATTCTCATTCTTCTCACAAGCAAAATATGCTTGTATCACAAGTCCTTCAGGAAATCCTAATGCCTTTAACTGGAAGAAAAGAAGGAAAAAAATTATGTAGATTTAACCCACCAATTATGGCATATTTAATTTTCTTTACATTGTATGTATTCCAGCACAGCATTACTGATAGATCATTACTTAAAAACATACTACAATCCAAAAGAGCTCCTGAGAAGTTTACATGAATTCATCTCTATCTGAATATGGGATTTACTGTCCAACCCAAAGGGTTAGATGGTACCCAGACCCTTTCCTTTAACAACCACTTAAAAAATAAGTCTTTGTTCCAAGTTAAAGCTATTAACTAATAGATAATTATGCCAACACTCTTTGTCATCAACACTAAAAATTAGCTGCTAACTGTGGTGGTTTAAGAAGACCCTTGTACAAAATGTACAAGAACTTGTCAATGAGTTTTAGTATATTAAGGGTGAAAATAAGGATGAGTATACCTGGAGAAAAATTTAACTGCCTCACTTAATCATGTTCTATTTGTTAAAGCAACTTATGTCTTTTATTTGGAAGGAACAACACACTCAATTTCCTATCTTTATTCAACATTTCATACTTGAAAAACAAGCAATCATTTCTTAGTATTACATGATATGCTTTGAAATTAGTATATACAATCACCTTTTGATAGACTATATCCAGAAATTACCTTTTTTTTTTGAGACAGAGCCTCCAGCTGTCCCCCTGGGTAGAGTGCCGTGGCATTACAGCTCACAGCAACCTCCAACTCCTGGGCTCAAGCGA